AGAGGACAGTGCAGAAGATTTCAGAAAGAGTTGGATGATATATTCAATCAATATCATGGTGTTTTGGAATGATCACTTGTGATGTCAACATTATTATGCCTCCATTCATCTTCCCACAGAGCCTCAGACTCAACACAGAGACCTACATCAAGTGTCTTGAGGAGGTAGTGCTGCCCTGAAACAAGAGTGTGGCTGCTGGAAGACCCTATGTCTAGCAACAGGACTCTCCACCATGTCACACAAGCAGGAGAGCCCAGTCATGGCTGTCTGACAATTTCTGCAACCACATATCTGGCCATCTAACTCACCAGACTGCAACCCTCTTGATTACTATGTGTGGGATGCAGTTGAGCGAAAGACCAACAAAACTCCTCGTAACACCAAAAGTGAACTGAAAGCAACAATTATAACAGCCTTCACCAAGTTAAATGAGGAGACCACCCAGAGAAGTGTTGCAGGAAATTCCGGAGCCAATTTCATTGAATAAATTTACTCTTTAGTATTTCAAGATATTTCTGTGTAATTTTGGTAAATATATCTGTCAGTGGTATTTTCATATTTGCGTAATATATACAATAATTTATCCATCGCACCCTGTAGGAGGACTGGTATCATGTAACAGTTCTGTACACTTTTCTTAAAAAGCTTGAATATATTATTTTTTGTGTATAGCAAAAGATGACTTTCAAAAACTAAGAAAAGCATTATGAGATAGGAAACTTTTCTTAGAAACAGAAAAGCATACTTCACTTAGGGGCCATCACATTGGTAATCCAAGTATTTAATTTGTAGTTGTTAGGTGATATTATTAAGTAAAAACTAAATTTACTAATCATTAATAGAAAAGCTTACTACAATTCAGTGATCCCCTAGTATTTTAAAAAGAATTTTCAATTATTTTTGTGTTTGTATAAATGTGCCAGTTTTTGTAAATACCAAAATCCATATATGACATTATCAGAAAAAAAGAGTAGTAACTATGATCATAGACAATCCGTTTCTATCCTAATTTTCAATGTACAGATTCACTGATAAACTGTGTTAAAATAAATTTAAGGTCAGAAATTGAAACCCTAGAACACAAAATATTTATTTTGTTACTGCATAAAATGACTAAAGCTAAACTGGATTTATATGTCATATAAAGTAGAATTTATATGATAATATCATGTAAAGTGGGATTTATATGGTAATGTCATATGAAGGGAGACTTCTGTCTGAATTTCTAGTATGAGAAGTTATCATTATTTAAACTATTTATATTCAGACTATTGTCTGAATGTTTGAGAAATTTTATTAAAGAGAAATTTTGGCCTTCAGCAGGAATTGAATCTCTGTCCCTCAGAGCAGAGGGAGCAGACAGACAGGCAAAGCCAATTTCATGCTTTTAAGCAAAATTTCTCTTGTCATAGATCTCTCAAAGTTTTTTCATGTCTGCCCATTGTTTACATCTTAATACAAAAGAAAGAATTTTTAGAATGGATTTTTATTAATCCGACAGTGCAAATACCTTTGGGAAGGGTATGAATCCATTTCTTCTCTCAGTTATATCTTAAAAAGCAGCACAGACTTGGTTCTATAGCTTTGGTTGGAAATCATTGGAAATATGGTGACTTCATAAAATCACATTTTCATTTTGTTGTGTACAATATTGTAATATTGCCATAATAATATTGGTAATATCTAATAATTGTTGTTTATCATTCTAGCATATTGTAATATTGCCACAATTACAGTTGTACTTGCTATTCGTTAGCAGCAGGATTGGCTTTAAAGTCTGTCCGATTAGTTTGATTCTATTGATTAGAATTTTCTCTTTGAATTCAGAAAGAGACAAAAAAAAAATCACTTTCAAAACTAAAAATAAATGCAGAATTATAATTTTCCAGACTGCAGCATTAACATTTTTTTTCACTTGCAAAGGCAGATTAATGTGATGAGTCTTGTTCTCTCTAATGATATATGAACTAGTTTACACACAATGACAGTATCAATTTTAAATTTTTTTTTTTTTAATCATTTCATCCCAGGAATGCTACTATTATTCAAGGGGTCAAAGGGAGTTAAGGTGAGAGAAAAGAATGAGTATAGGGAGGATTGAGGAAAGGAAAAAAGATGAATGGAATTCAAGAAGATAGATGATGATTTACATAGCATTTAAATTTTTGAAGATTGTAGTTATCAGGGAAGCAAATAAACAGAAGGGAGTTCTGCAGCTGAAAGTGCAAGAAAAGTAACTTTTGGAGTAGAAGTGGCAGTTGCGTTTAGCTATTTCAAGAGCAAATGGGTGGAACCTAGGTGTCAATCTAGTAGCACACTTAAATTCATGTAAAATGGGGCCCCAGGTAAAAAAAGTTCATCAGAGCAGTTGCCATGAAAATATTTGTAGAAAAGATAGAGAAGCCACATTATGTCAGTGAGAAAGTGGCTGAAGTTGAGATGCCAAGTCAGGATCAAAAGTTTCCAAACACATTGTATGTATATAATATCAAAAAAATTATGTTGTTGTGCATTTTCTTGTTTATATTCAATAATTCCTGAATATTAAAATAAACTAGACAGTATTTAAGAACAATGATTTCTGTGTTGCCAAAAAAGGGATTATTGCAGCCACATCTGAGTCAGCGTTACCCAATCCCCACCTTCAGCCTCAAAAACATTCCCTTGGTTTGTAGGAGATGAATTGTTTTCCACCCTTTCCTTCCAGATGAAATATTCGTAGCCTCTCACTACTTAATCACTATTTTCACAGCAGATGTCCAAATGAGCAACATTCCTTGGTTCCACTAATCCAGACCTTCATGGCTAGGACCCACCACACCACAGTCAACTCATCCCCATTCCATACATATTCCATTGGTAAGGAGGAAGGTCCATTCAGAGAGCTTAGAACTGTTGCACTGTGAAACAAACTCCCAAGAAGATACTTCCCTGATCACTACAATCTTCAAGTCAATGAATGGCCAACCATTATTTATCCTCATAATATGCACTCCTAGTTCCCTTCCTGTATGCCCTTATATCAGCCTCATTTTGTAACTCTTTATTTTGAGTGGCTCTTGAGCCTTGTAGTGGTTAAACAATAGTTAAAAAAAAAAAAGAATGAATTCAACTTATTTTCACTCCAAGATGTTATTTCTTTAACCCAAGAGACAGATTAGACTAAAAATAGAATATTGCTACCATATCTTGAGCTATCCAATCCTCATTTTTTTCACCTTGCAAGAATTAAAAACTTCTTTAATTTATCATTATTTTAACTTTACCAGTTAGGTTTATGCAAATTTGAAGATGGGGTGTGAGTGGCCGAGCAGTAAACAGCAGAGAGAATTATGAACCAAGATTAAACTCCAACCAGTACAGTTTGTGTTCAAATAACACTACTAACCTTGGACAAATTCCCTTCTCTCCTAGGTATGGGTAAACTGTAAGCTGGAGCCTTTTAAAGGTAATCCATCTTGGATGTTTAATAATAGGTCATCAGGGGTCATTCCTTTCTGCTGATACCATGAAACCTAATACAAATTATTGCATTTTGAATTGCACTGAGATATGAAATCTAGTAGTTCATGACAGACATTCACATCAAAATCTGAATAAAATTTAAATATTTTCTAATAAATATATTATTTTAAACAGACAAACAATTTAGATTTTAAATTTGGTCATACATTCACACACAATTTAAATGAAACTGAATTAGTCATCTGGGTTACAAGGGTTTCTGGCAACAATCCCTGGAAACAGGAAAATAATATAAACGTAAATGTACAGCCCTTTGAAATCATTTTTATGATTCCTTCTCTATTTTAGCCGAGTATATTTTGTAATAAATGTATATTTTAAACAGACAAACAATTTAGATTTTAAATTTGGTCCTCTTGCTATCAGTAAGCAATAGGTACTGAACTGGTAGATAATAAATTGGTTTTAGACATTTATGAATAACAAAAACTCATATAAAATAATGTGTATATATTAAGTTGATTTATTTTATATACAGAATTTAGTTTAGTCTGGCACAAGGTCAAAGAACAGGAGCATCCAGTGAAGATCAAACTCAATATATAAAAGTAATTGTTATGGTCTGGTTCCTTGTACCATGGTGATAGACCAAGGTAGAACCAATAAAGAAGAACTCAAATATGGATATGGAATAACACATATATATTACAAACAGGAATATATACAAAGTAGAAAGTGTTAGTATGAACAATCAGGTTTAGTAGTAATTGTCTGAACATGACTCTGTTTCGGACTGCCTCTGACTCGACTGACTGACTCACTCACTCTGACTGACTGACAGACTCCTGACGGACCTCACTCCAGACTTCAGACTGAACTCTAGACTTCAGACGGAACTCCCTGTTTCTTCTTGAGGTGCAGTATTTATTACGTATGGAATAGTCCATTATTTTATTATGGGTAAGGTCCCATAACAGTAATGTTCTGTAAGACTAGCTTACTTTACTAACAATTATCTATGGTAAGGCATTTTATTGATATACCTACATTAACTTGTTATGCTGATGCACCCCCAAGCAACCTATGTTAGCCCACTTCTTCTAATGTGTCATATATAAGTGAGCTTGTCTCAATACTTGAGGTCTCAGACCAGTACAATATTTTTTTTCCTTAAGAAGTTCTGTTGCCTTGATTTATGGGGAGATGAGACATGTACACTCAGGGTATTACACCTGTATCTTCTTGATATGATGCTGATTGGCATGTGCAAATAAAACTATTTCTTTCCTGTGAAAATTTATAATTATGGCTTTATGGTTTTAGCAAAGAAGTGTAGACTGATACATTAGGGTTCAATTCCAGGCTTAATTGATACATTGCTGACACTCTTATTCTTTTAATATTCTTGTTCTTGATATAATTAAATTTGGGAAGAAAGAAAAAATCAATGTTCAATTATATGGCATTTTGTTTTTTAAAAAAAAGAAAATTATGTCATTTTACAATTTTTCAAAGATTTTTCATTTTGTTTAAAGGAAATCGGGGTTGATGAAGAGAACGAGCAGAGACAATTCATGATCCCCGACTGTCACAGTGAGAGCGAGGATGGCTGGAGTGAGGGTGATATCGGACTTACAAAGAATGTTTCAGGTAGGTTTGAGTATTTATACTTATTTGTACATAATTACTTTCAGATATTCATATAAATTTATAAAAAAAAATGAAATTCATTTTGAAGGAAGCAATCTTTAGTTATATCATCAACTGAAATTGTTATTAGACATCCGATGTTGGTAATCTTTTCAGGATATACTTATATCATCCAGTGCTAGAACTGAAAAATAAAAATAGAACTAATTTTGTCTTCTTGACCATCATCTATGACAATGCTATTGAGCTGTATAGATGGCTGCTTGTATCCAAGTATGCCTGTCTTCTAAGGTAGTTACCTAATCCCTGCTGCAGATTCCTGCTCAAGCACATTTGTGCATGCTCACTACTCACAGACCCCACCTGTGATTTATACAAAACTATGCTGAGAGGATTGTTGTTACATAATATTGCATGATTGGCAGTTCGAACAAGATCATTAAGCTTCAACTCACAATCATGATAAACTTCACAGCTAAGACCTAAGGCCATGCTACACACATTGTAGCACCCTCATTTCCTTTGTATTCCATTGGTGGAAGACGGAGTTTACAAAGGACAAGAAATTGTGGAGAGCCATGATTGCCAATGTCCTGAAAGGACATGGTACATAGAAGAAGAAGACTAGATAACTGATCCACCATCCATGTCCAGCAGAAACATTAATATTTAATATCCTAAAAATTTCCCAACATCAGTTGGTTAATACCAGTTTTATTATGAAAACATTGACTTGCATAATAAAATCTGACATCATGTAATAATACTGGAGAGTAAATCTATTTAATAACAATAAAAAAAACGATCCCCTACCTTATGTCTAGCAGAAACTTCTATTAATATTTATTGTAAATATATTCTGAAAATTTTCTCATCAAGTGGTTAGAATCAATTTTACTGAGAAAACATTAGCTTGCATAATAAAATTTGATACAATGCAATAATTCTTCAGAGGATTAGTTTATTATTTAATAATAATAGAAAACTGATCCCCCACTTTGTGTCAATTTGAAACTGATGTGAATATTTAATGTAAATATATCTTGAAAATTTTCTTAATAAAATCTAATACAAAGTCTGATCAAAAAATATTGGGATTGGTGCTATAAAAATAAAGCTACAACATCTCAATTTTGCATTTAATATCCTTTGAACTAGTCTCCTGATGCCACACATTTTATTCAGTGCCATTTACATTTATGGAAGTATTCCTGGAACTTCTTTTTAGGGTGAGCAAGTAGCTACCTCATTGCATTCTCTTGGATATACTCAGGGTCTTGAAATCTTGTTCTTTTAAGTGGGATTTGATTTTGGGAAAGAGAAAAAAGGTTGCAAGAGGGAAGATCTAGAGAATATAGTATTTTCAGGTCTGGGAAATGTTGCACAAGCCATGTTCACTGATGAAACTTCTGCAGTGGGGTGAGATGACAACATCAGATTCTATGCACTGCTATAAATAATGGAAGTGAGCAAGAAGATTATATCTTAGTGTGCATGCAGAACAGAGTTCAAGGTCAATCTGAGGCAAGCAGCTCCATTCTGCATACTTTAGCTCTGTTACCACAGCAAAAGTCCCCGATACATTTTTATCAGACCTCGTATAGTACATAGATATATAAAGGTATAATAAATCTAGCTTAATCAAATCATTTAAGTATGAAATGATCTACAATCTTCAAAATCAAGCAATCTTTACATGGCATATATGAAATTTATTCTATATATGAAAAGGATATCATATCATATATCAATGTTGGTAATTTTTTCATGATATACTTATAGCATACAGGGCTGGAACCAAAATTTAAATTTTGTCTTCTTGGCCACCATTCAGGACAATTGCTATTGATCTGAGCTGTATGGATAGCTGCTTGTATCCAAGTATACCTGCCTGTTAGGGTAGTTAGCTAAACCCTGTTGCAGATGCCCCTCAAGCACATTTATGTATGCTCAACACCCACAGAGCCCACCTGTGGCTTATACTGCAACTATGCTGAGAGGGTCATAATCACAATTTCTATGAGAGAGTGCATAATCTGGCATCATCAACTATTAGAACAGGCCAGTATGCTGCAACTCTCAATCACGATGACTTGTAATTTTGTGCAAGATTAACCATTGCCATATATTTCTATCTATTTAATTTCACACACAAAATTTTGGTCAACCCATAGTTTAGTTTTTAAACACTTCCCAACAGTGTCAAATGCTGGGATCATCTCCCCCTTAATCAAGAAGTGACCTCCCTTACAATTCTGTAGAATCAAAATATGATACGCATCTTCGCAAGAAAGTTCCAAACTAGTGTCCAGTTGGCAGACAAAAGAAAGCAGGCTGTAACATAATACAGACCCCCTATATTCAAGCATGCAAAGTAGCCTAATGGTGGATATTTATTGATCACAGTCAAAGTCATTAGCCAATCAGAACTTAGAGAATAGGCTGGCCCAAGTAGCATAATGGAACATCCCAGCCTGTTATATAAACCACTCACCAACTAGCCTGAGATTCACCTTCACCCCCACCCACAGTGAATCAGGTTGCGACATCAGGTCAGTTTTTAATGTTGGAACCCGAGTGATTCCACTTGGGCTGCTGGTCTAAGCTGGTCATAGCTTGTCATACCACTGCTACATTACAGATGTTATGCAACAGAGGGGGAATGCAAGGAAGGAGAGAAGGCCTCCGACATGGAACAGATACTACATCCGCAGCATCTACTCTGATGGGAAAAACACCCTTCTCCTCCTCTGCCAATCCCCCCAGAAGAATCAAGAAGGAAAGCTCTACTCATCAACTTGCCCAGATAGAGTTGTCAGAGCAGACTCAACTTGTAATACAGCCAAATAATGGTCTGTTTGTTCAACTAAATCATACAAATTCAACCATTGTGAGATTTAATCCAATATATGAAGCAATCTGTAAATGATATATATGAAATTGATTCACTAGTGATATAAATCTTATAAATATTTATATTACAAGTTTTATTTAGTTATATGTTTAATTCTTCCCTGGCACAGGAGTTTGCTTTTGAGTGAAAATGTTCTCCTCATTTTAGATGGGTAAAGGCATCAGGTCTTGGAGATTCCAACCCAATGGCACCATATTCCTCATTGCACTAAGAGAGCATAATATCAACATCAGCGTGACAGTGGTTCAGAGACTGCAAATTTTTGTTCTTGGCTAATATATATACATATCTGTATGGGCTCGCCACATAAAAATCGACCTTGTGTCACATCCAGCCTTAGTGGGGAGGCCAGACAAAAACTTACATACTTAACCTCTTCCACAAACATGTATATACATTTTTACCAAAACTGTCTTTTTCAGACATGGATGAATAAACACATCCAAAACATAATGTTCAGAAACCAGCTACTGACATGTTTATACATGTTTTATCTTGATTCTTTTTATCCCCTTCTGAGCTTGAAATGAGTTCAATCATCAACTCATACATCTAGTAGAGGTGTTAGCCGCTGCTTGGGTACTTTACCTCAATTTCTTACTATATTAAAAACAAATAAAAAATTCATCTGAAAATGAAACATTTTTCCCAAAATAATTGGCAGGGAAGGGGTTAATCAATGGAAATGTTAATGTGGATGAGACAAAATAATATTAGCCAGTACAAGTCCATATCTCAAAAGCCAATTTAATCATAATGATAAGATTTATCTTTGCTTTTGAAGAATTATTCCTCTGAAATAGAATATGAATTTTCTTTGCACAAATCAAATAAAGCATTCCCAGCCATCATTTTTTTCCATCTTTAATGAAAGTTGCAACTCAGCATTTTCCCCATTCCATTGTTAGAACTTGGTTAGCAGAGATCAATGGCATGGTTTTGAATATCATGGTTTTGGGAAGTGCTTTCTTAAACTGTGGTATCCTCAGCATATATACAGGGTGATTAGAAAGCAACTCCTCATTTTAAAATACTTATAATTTATTTATTAACTTATAATTTTTACAAGAAATAGATATGAGAGGAAAGTGTTTAGCATGAGGTTTTACTTAAAATTTGATATATTTTTTCTTTTTACAGTAAGGTTCTAAACAATCAGTTGTATACAATTGCCTTCTCAGATCAATGGTGGTGTTGAGTGAGTGAATGTGTAGGTTTCAGTGAGGACCATCCTTCTTTAAATCATGTGGACTCTCATTACAGAATCACAAAGAACTGTACCAAATAACAGAAACCATATCAGCTAAGGACTTTCAACAACAGCAACAACTAAAATGGATGGATAGCATATGTAACTTGAATAGAGAATAATGACATAATCAAGATGTTGACCTTCCATACTACCTCAAACAAAAGGCAAGGAAGGAAAAGCCCCATAAATATAAGAAAAGTTAATAGTTACTGGACCTTTTTTTTGCAGTAAGGTTCACCCTGTACAAGGCCCGGGGGCCACTCAAGATAGAAGATTATGTTAATGGGTAGTTTATATGGATAGGAGGGGAAGATAATAGTTGACTCTAGACTTGGACAGGTTAAGAGTGTAGTGATTGGGGAAACATCCTCTAGGGAGTCTGTTCCATAGGGCAGTGGAAAAAGCTGTTTCGGTGGAATACAGAGAGAATGTGAGTTGTTTACTACTATATAAGTGACATGAAAGTCAAACCTAGTAGAACCAGGGGGTGCACTTCATTCGAGCACTTTCCATGGAAGTAGCGAAAGAGCAGTGAGAAACTCACCACTTCCTACCTGTGTGAGAGAGGTTGGAGTGTGGAAAATAATTCTTCTCTCACAAGTACCCAGAGATGCTTTTTAATTCTATCAAGACTAGAAAGCAAGGGAGCTTGTGGAAGTGAGGGACTCTTGTGGTATGGAAGACATAACTTCTTGTATTTGCCTTTCAAGTTCTTACAAAGTCTTGGTTTGGCATAGTAGACTTGCTCCATTAACTGACCCCAAAGAAAAAAGTCACAGGGTGGTAAGTCAGGAGTCCCAGCTGGCTACTCATAAAATAGAGAGTTACTTTTCA